TTTAATCGCTTGTATCAAACAAATAACGTAACTCAAACGTTCTATACTTGGATACTAAACCACTATTGTGTCTTTTCTAAAATATATTATTTTAAAAATGCTGTTTGTCCAGGTATTTTATGTTGAATGTCTTTTTTGTTTCAATGGATTTGATGTACAATATTTTACAATTAGTATTTTTCTAGCTTTTTGTATTAGGTTAAGACACCTGTAACATTAAATGATGTTTAGCAGCAAAACCAGAGAACATGAATGGTTTTACTTTATAAATGAATGACTATAAGATGGCGATACAAGGCCATGCTAAGACACAAAAAACCCAGAAGCAGTTACGTTGAAAAACATCCTTTTAATAGGTCCGTGCCACACACTAGTGAAAAATAAAGCTCCTACAAAAGAATGATACTTTTATTCCACAATATTTTAAATAAAGTAACTTCAAGTACTTTTGACTTGGGTACAAAAAAATCTAGCTGCCTCCATCAGGCCACAACACACAGCAAGGTTCAACACAGTGGTTACAAATGGCCTTAGGTCCTCTCTGTTTAGTGGCAGATTTTTGAGAAAATGCGTCACAGAAGCATCGCTGAACGCTCATCGCTCCATTTTTCTTTTCTGCAATGGTGAGGAATGATTTCTTTGTCACTGTCCAACTTTGGAGGCCTTGTTGGATTGAAATCATATAAAAAAATATTGTTGTCATAAGAAGGAAAAACTAAGAAGAACATCCCCTACATGCCCCTGTTGGAAGGGTAGGCACTACCAAGATTAAGGATACCACAGTGTTTGCAGAGGATATGTATATACTGTACAAACAATATTTATGATAATGTTTTTTTATCACGGTCACTAAAATAGAATGCTACAATCATTCTAAGGCATAAACAATATCTTAATATTCTCAAACAATTTTTACACATTGTTCCAAACAAGACATAATATTGACATTAATAAACAGTATATACACATGAATCACCATTGTCTTCCTCTTGCTCTGCTGTTTGTGTAAATAAAAGCACTTTTACAGTCTGAACAAATGGATACAGTTCTCTGATGCCCCAAAGCACTGAACAGTGTAAACAGTTTTCTTTTTCTTGGCTTTGTCGGATATTTGGGAGAAAAAATTACAACACAAAGACACATTCCTTTTTTTTTTTAACTCAATAGCAGTTCAGCTGACTCTTCCTTTTCATAGAAAATGAAGTGGACCTTGATTCATAAATAATTATTACAAAATTAAATACATTCACTATAATATGATTAAATAACAAACAGGATATTTACAAGTAGTGGAAAGTATTGTAGCACAGACACATCAGTGACAGTTGAGGATTCATTCAGTGCAGTGTTCTGAGACAGGGAATGCTATTGCACTACAACACCCCATTCCTCTGGGACTCTTTGGGGCTTTTATCCCTGTTGTAAGAAATCCAGCGCACCTCAATGTAATGACATTTTTATTTCAAGGCGATATTTCTCCAAAAGAAACCACATGGTTCCTCATCAAGGATTAGAATTTGTTTTTTCACTTCTGTCCCGCAAAGTCGTCATCTTCTTCGTCCTTAGGGAACAAGAGTCAGTCGAAGGTGGTGCGCTAGTTTGAAAGATGCGGACCGTTTTTACGGGGAAAAATCTGAAAAGATATTGTTTAGTTTGTTTGTTTCAGAAGCTCAGTCCAGCGCTTCTCAAAAAACTTCCTCATATTGTGACCTGCTCGACCAATGTCTGAATTGTCTTCATTGAACTTTTCGCAGTTGTCAAACACCAGGTTAACATCAATGATGAAGGTCTCCAGATTTTGATATCTGTGGAAATACAAAGAAAACAAATGAGGTGGTGATCAGGAAGAAAAAGAGAAAACACTTTTATACTTTTTGTATTGTTTTTGTTTTTTAATAATTTTTTCTTTGTACGGCCTTTTCACCTATATAAATAACATAAAAAATGTATGACAGAATCAATTTTTGTATTATAAATCTCATATATAAAGTCCTTAAGCTAAGACAAACTTCAAACTTCAAACTTAAGTAATACTAATAAATGTAAGTACTAATAAAAATAAAAAGACAAGATAAAAACTCACTGGCTGCTGACAAGCTTCTCTCGTATGGTGGAGAAGTCCATGGGTTTCTTGATGACCTTCTTGTAACCAGGGACAGATTTCAGGTTGACCGGGGTGAGAAAAGGCCACGCATCCTGATGACGCTCAAGCTCGGCCAGAAGGACTCTGTTTGAAACGCACACAGAAACACGCATGCACCATTAGACACAGGAAAAAACACTGGATCTGTTTAAGGAAAGAACTCAGAATATGATGCAGCAGATAAAGCAGAGTAACTTTACAAAGTGAAACTCTGAAAAATGAAAGAAGTGCTGTGCAAGATTTAGATGTAGGGTTAGCATATACATTTACAGAGAACGAGGCGCCTTCACAGGTGATTTACAATGTTAATAAATTCCCCTGATGATCGGGATTTAAATCACCGCTTTCTAGTCGTCCTCTGTACAAATTATTGTCCGTTTTATAAGTTGTGATCAGATTATAGAAAAAGACACAATCCAAAAAACAGCTTGGGGAGTATGTGTGTAAGTTGTGATCAGATTATAGAAAAAGATATATGAACAAACAATATATGAATAAATGTGTATACAAACAAAAGTATCTTTCAACATTCAATCAAAACAATGTGGAATTTCATGAAATACACTTGAGGATGACCCTCTTTACATTCAAACTCTTCATACTGATTATTTAAGTCTCCCACTATCAGGCGGACAGATTCATTAAAACTAGCAACGGATCCGTTTTTGCAGCTGGTGTTTCAGTTATTATATCTGACAGACTGTGGTTAAGAAGGTGAGGCATGTAGGAGCAGGTTAGAACCTCATACCTGCATAAACCCAGGTCTCTGTTATTGTCTCGCGCAGTCTTCGCTCTCTTCACACACACTGGACTCTCCTGATTGGCTGCTGGCAAAACGGGTGACATCTCCTCCATTTTCTTCTTCCTGTTTGTGTCCTTTGCTCCTTTCTTGGGCGTGCTGCTTGCACTGGCGGAGTCGTCCTCTGACACTTCCCCGTTTCCTGTCTGCTTCCCGTTTTTCTTGGCCTCGCCACCTTTTTTGTTGCTTCCTCCACTGGTTGCTACTGGTTTGCTTGGAGGCTTTTTGGCTTTGGGGGTTGGACTGGCCTAAACAGAATGAACACTGTCTGAGTTCTGGGAACAGTCATCTAAGAAAACACCTTATTCACTGCTTATACTGTAAAATACATTTTCCTTGTTTAGGTACTTTGCATTACGTGCATTAAAAATCATGTTTGTTATTAAATAGGTTGTTATGAAAAACAAAAAGTGATTAATTTGATCAAATTAAATTCCGGATGTTGTGTGACTGTCGGTGGAGTTTGAAGGGTTCCGATACCTTGGATATGCAGACTGGACAGTACCAGTCGCCCTCTGGGATGCAGGTGATCTTGGGTTTGTGACAGTAAGTATGGCAGCCTTTGTCACAGCCATCACACAGCAGGAGGAGGTCTTCATTATCGCCCTTTCTACATATCTGACAGTACTGCAAAACACAGGGGGTACAATGTGAGAGAGATATCTTTGTACTGTACAACAGGCCTATCAAGGTATAATTCAAACTGGTAAACAGTTTCTGTTTGTGCGCTCCTTACCACTTTCATGATAGACCTCTCCCAAGCGATGGACTTCTGTAGCTGCTGAATACACATGGCCAACTGGGCGGCACTGCGTACTTCAGTCAGGGCCTTCCTCCACACCTTCATACCGTGGGCCACTTCTTCCTCACCACTAGGGGACCAATATAAACAAACATCAAGACGTCATGAGAAAAAGTTCTAATTCTCACCAACTTTACACGAAAAAGTGTGGGTCATTTTTTTTTGTTTTTTTTTTACACAAACACAAAGCACAACAGTGTATCAGCTGAACCAGCCACCAACAAGACAGGAGACCACGGAGAGCTCCAGCTGTGCAGAGACAGGCAGAAGGATTCTGGGGGGGGGCAGTAGGTCACACATCATGTCATGTTAGAAAAACAAATGTTCATGCAGACAGAGTGAGGGCTCGTGTGTCAGTTTACACTGTACAGTCGGAGCAACAACCAAGGTTACTGATGCACAACACCATGCAGATGGCTGCAGAAAATAAAGAATACCACAGTGGTTAAGGAGCGTACAGGAAATTAAAGGGGGAGACACTCACCCACCCACCACCAACCCAATGAATTGCACAAGACCAGAAAAAGAAAAAAAAAATGCCACAAGCCACCATCGACACCACGCCTGCTGAGGAAGCAGCAAAGACCCTCGCTGTTTTTTTGTTTTTTTTTTTAAGTTATGTGAGAAACACAAAGCACAACACACAGAGAGGAGAAGGGTCTCAGTGGGAGAGTGGGGGTAGCTTTGTTTTGGAGAAATAACCTACCCTTCCCTGTCAGCACTAGTGGATGGGGCGGGGGCAGGGACAGTGACCGTACCCACATTATCCAGCCTGATCTGAATGGTGGTACCTAAGGGGCTCCTCAGGTACCTTCTTTCAATGTTGCGCTCCAGATCAGCCAGACGAGTCACTGCTATGTCCAGCGGGTTGTCCAGGTGACGTGTTACCCCGCCCTTCTCCCCACGTTCCTCCGGATGATCCCTGGAGTCCTTGTCTCCGCTGTAGGCCGATGTCGATTTTGTGGGTGGTTTATGCTCATAATAAACCAGATCCTCTCTCTCAGACTGAGGGTCAGAGTGTGTCCAGCCCTGGAAGAGAGGGATTTTAGTATTTGTTGTTTTTTTTTATCACTGATCACATCAATTGTTATGTTGTGGAATATTTAGGTTAGGAAAAAGAAAATCCTCCTTAAAGTTATTCTAATGTGCTTTTATAAGAAACAAAGCAAAACATGGTCTAAACGTTATTGCATATTTGAAACAGGTGCAGGTCTAAAACCCAAAGAACACTCTCCCCACTGTGAACCACAGAGGTAGGAGTGTAATACTGTGAGGTTGCTTAGGTGCATCCATAACTGAGAATCTAGAAAGGTGAAAATAACCTTTAAGATTTTAAACACAAATTAAAGGAAGCAAAAATATTATGTTGACTTAAAGTAGTCTGTCTGCGTTTTTTTACCTTTAAGATTTTAAACACAAATTAAATGAAGTAAAAATATTATGTTGACTCAAATCTTACCTTAACCTGCAGACTGGCAGCAGTGACCTTCCTCTCCAGCTCCTCCACCTGCTGCAGAACAGCAATGTCCATCTCCATGGCCTGCTCTTCTACACACCAGCCTCGCACTGACTCCACACTGACCTGGCTCTCCTCCAGATCACACAGCTCGATCATGGCCACTACATGGACAACAGGTTGTTAAAAATGGCCCAAACCAACTCAACCATACTGGTAAATAAGCACGACCAGGAGTTACTGCAGTTTTCGACAAAGCCAGATAATTATAATGAAGTACTTACCATCTCTGTGCTTGGTGCAGACCTGTGGTATCATCTCCATGTACTTCTGCATCTGCCGCTGGAGGCCCTTCTCTCTGATGCCTCGACTGTGGAGGGCGTTGACTAAGGCTCTGAGTTCCTCTACATCAGACACCCGCCACCAGCCTGTCAACATGTCTGAGAAAGAGAGAACGAACAGGGAAGTGAGCTAAATCTTGTCTTTACTTTTGCTATTTCACATCCTCAACAATCCAAGGATAGCAGAGAGGATCATTGGTAAACGCAATATTTATGGATTGTCCAGGAAAGTGAAATCTGTTCGATTGAATTCCTTTCAATGTTTTATTATGACTCACCCTCTGGGATGGGACGAGGTAAGGGATGGTCCAGGGATTTGGGCATTTCCAGTGTAGGCTTAGATGAGGATTTCTCAACATGAGGTAAAGGTGATTCACTCTTACTGGAGACACTTGCAGCTGTGTTGCCCTCCAGAGACTGCCCAGGCATGGGGCTTGGGCTATTGCACAGAGGCAGGCTGGGACTTAACATCCCACTTGGCCAGCTTCCAAATGAGCTCCCCAAGAACGAACCGGCTGACTTCAGCTGATGAAAACGGACGATAAACAAAAATGGTGAGGAAGAGAAAACAGAAACAGAAAAATGTTGTTTTTAAATAGAAACTTTGTAAGGATGTTGCCTGACATTACAGCAAATGCTTGATTGTCATCCAGAAACCTTTACCTGCAGGGCTGACAGTGGGTAGTTAAGGAGACCAGCCGGATGGTGAGGGCTGGCTGAAGCTGAGGCAGCTGAAGGGGTGAGAGGCAGCGCAGGGGACGGAGGTGGAGATCTGGGCCTGGCTGGAGTGGAAGAGGCCTGGGGAGACACGCGGTGAGCCCCTGCAGGGGTGGTGGTGAGGGAGGAGAGGTCACAAGGGCTACGGGGGAGCAAACTAAACCAGTGACCGCTCCTCTCTGTCAGGACTCTGAGCAGCTGGTCGTTGGCCTGGAATGAGAGGTGAGGAGATGGAGCAGGGGATGAAGACGGGGGAGTGTTCTCTGGGCTGTGGTTATGGCCTGGCAGACAGGAGACAGATAAAGAGCCGGGCGCTGGGGGAGGGATGTTTGCAGTGTCATTAGTGGTAGCCATGGAGGGGGTTGTTGCTACTGCAGGCTCAGAGGTATTGCGAGTGGGGGAGGATGACGTGACAGACACGCTGGCACTGGCAGCAGCCACGGGGCTGCCATTTTGTCTAACATGGAAACTCTCCCTGTTCTCCGCCGTCACAGTTTCTTTGTCAGTGTCGATGTCAGGGACGGAGCAGAGTTTGGAGACACAACTCTGATGCTGGTAGAACAGATTCGGGGAGTTTTTCTTCACCTCGTCCTCCTTTTCCTCCTCCTTGTGTTGGTCCAAACTTTGAGTTCTAATACTCTGTCCATCAACACTGTTCTGTTTCACCTTCTCTAACTCAATTTCCTGGGGTTCATCTTTGACCTTGACCTCTTCAGCTGCTCTCCTTCTCCTCTGCCGCTCCTCCTCCAGCTCCTCTGGTGCTGTGGGGACATTATTATTACACTGGTTGTTTTAAAAGTGTTCAGTTTGTAGCATCTCAGTACTAGTTTCAAAAAGGTATGACACTATGAAAGCAAAATATTTTCAACATGAATAGAACTGGACAAAGCAATCACACACACTGTGCCCAGTGAGGCGCAAGAGACAATACCTTCTCCACTCTCCATGGCTTCAATAAAGACTCCCCCACAATGAGGAAGAACCCAGTAGCGGCGTCGGAATCTGTCCTGGCCGTACATCATGGAGCGTAGGGAATGAGAAATCTCAAACAGCTTTCTCCTGGTCTGATGGTGTTGCTATAATTGATACAGAATTCAGAGTCTCGTCATTTCCGCACTCGATAAAGACCTTCACAACAACAACAACAGACATCATCCCACCTAATCCTGTCTAACGTTTCCCTGTAATCACCAAGATAAATTACACATTACAAGCTATGCTAATTAGGAAACTCATTAGGGTAATTAATGCCTTAATCAGTAAACAGAACATACATGTTTGTCCCTGCACAAAAACCTATGGTTATTTTTAATAAAACAAGAACAATGATAGCAGCCAATTAAAACCGGCAGTGACACTTGTATTTATTTGGCTTTGGCCCCAAGAGACAGATCCCTATCTCGACTCATTAGTGACACCAACCATGCATTTATGAGCTGAGATACATAATGAATTCATGTGAAGGATATAAGTTTGACTTTTTTGTCATTTTCTCACAGATCTTAAAAACAAGACCAATCAGCGTTCTGCTGGTTTTAGTGTGAAAATAAGGCTTAAAAGATTAATACTGTGGTGTCAAACTTAACTTTGGGTCCAAACAACGAAATAATTCAAACACAAACACATTCTTCATTATCGTGTAATGAAGAAACAACCATAACATCCTGCTTCATCGTCTGTTTTTCAACATCTCGGCTAAAGACAACAGTTGACTGGACTGTATAATTCACTTCTAATTCATTGTCTAGGACTTTGGAGGACATACCTTGGCCATCTTCTCAATCTGCTTCTCCAGCTCCTCCAGACTGGTGGCTTGGTCAACCTCATCCTGCCAGGAACAATAAAAAACCAAACACAATGAGTCATCCTCATCATCATGCTCCTCACTGACAACATAGCCGAACACAATCCTGTCTGTTTCACCTCATCGTACGTCTCCACTTTTCTAACCTTCTTCATTTCTTCCTCCTCCTCCTCGTCCTCTTCCTCGGCCTGGTCGTCACTGTCGTCGTCGTCGTCTTCATCATCGTCACTCTCTCCGCCAAGCTTTCTTTTGCGTTTGCTGGCAGAGGACGGCGTGCCAATGGACTGGTTCTCCTCCACGCCGACGCTGGCTTCCCTTTTCCCTGTGCGTTTAGCGTAAGTGGTCCTGAGCCTGCGCCGACACAAAACGCACTCAGGTGATTTAGAACAGGAGCCACAAGACGACCGCAGCAGTGATTAAAATCAAACACGTTACTTACTTTTTCAGTTTCCCTTCCATGATGATCTTGTCCTTCCTCATGTTCGCCATCTGGTCCAGCCCTTTGTCAATCTCACTAAAACAAGCGAAGCAAATTCAGGTGTTAGCAGTGGTGTCACTGTTTCTGTTCTCTCTGAATGCATGCTGGATTTTTCGAACGGTTCAAGCTCCTAAGTCTCGCTTCCACCTCTCTGACCTACCTGATAACAGCTCTGCTGCAGGCTAACTCGTTAGCCAAAAAGCCCAGGATGGAGGCCTTCTGAGCAGGCGTGTGGGACTGAAAGGCCTTGGTCTTCAGACTGAGGGCCAAAGGTGCCAGGTCTGTATTGGCACAGTGGGCACTCATGTACATCTGTAGCACCTCAGACACGTTATCTCTATTAATGCCAACGTTGGTAAGGTGGTCTCCAAGCATGGTTTTGGTCTGAACAAGAAAAAAAGGGAAGA